CCGAGTTGGACCCTTACGAGGAGCAAGAGAGAGAGTAGAGGGCGAGGGAAGAAACGAAGGTAGACATAAAGGAGGAGATCAAAAGGGCAATGAAAGAATTGCAATGCACTCCAGACGTCGCCGGGTTAAGCTACGCGGAACTTTGCATCCACCCAGACTTAAACCTGCCTGAAGGGTTCAAGATCCCGAAGTTTGATACCTTCGGAGGGGTGGGCAACCCCATGGCACACCTAAGAGCATACTGTGACCAACTAGTAGGAGTTGGAAAAGATGAAGCGTTGCTGATGAGGTTGTTCAGCCGGAGCCTGTGCGGTGAGGCCCTGGAATGGTTCACGTCGCATGAGACTCGACAATGGCCCAGTTGGAGTGCACTGGCTAAGGATTTCATCGACAGATTCGCATACAACGTCGAGATAGTTCCTGATCGGTACTCCTTGGAGAAGATGAAGCAGAAGCCCACAGAAAGCTATCGAGAATTCGCGTACAGATGGAGGAAAGAGGCGGCAAAGGTGAGGCCTCCGATGACAGAAAAAGAGATTGTGGAGGTGTTCGTGTAGGTGTAGGAGCCCGAGTATTATGACAGGATCATCTTGTTAATCGGCGCCAAGTTCGCCGAAATAGTCAGAGTGGGTGAGACTATTGAAGATGGCATGAAGTCGGGAAAGATAGCCCGAGTGTCTGCATCACCTAGGTCTTCCGGACTGGTAAGGAAGAAAAGAGAGGAGGTTAACGATATCTCACACGGGGGAAAAAAAGCCCCCAGAAACTTACAACGTCTCCAAGGCCGCTCCTACCCTCCATCAAAGCCTTATCAAGCCTACCGTCCAAACTTAAATCATTCCAGCCACTACAATGCCGGCCCCACTTATTTAGAAGCCCATATTGTGTCGTATCAGAATCCACCCCCGATTCCCCAAAATTTTCCAAACTACCCCTAAGCCTATCAAGTCCCTCCCCACTACCAGAATGTCGCTCCCAGCAGCGCTAATGTACAGCCAAGCTATCAAGCACCATTCCCCGCATATCAAATACAAACCCCAGCATATCAAAACCCCCATCCAAATTACCAAGCCCCAATGCCAAACTACCAAATAAATCCCCATCCCAGAGACCAAGCTCCACGACCAAATGCCCGCAATTACCAACAAGTCCCTCCCCCTCAACAAAGCGGTTATGATCCTCCCCGTCCGAGATTTGAAAAAAGGTCTTCAAGGAAATTTACCACACTTGCTGAAAGCCGGACAAAACTATTTGAGAGGCTAGTCGCAGATGGATACATCCACCCTATGGGGCCCAAACTCGTGGATGTCAACTCAAAGTTCTACAGGCCAGATCAAAGGTGTGCTTATCATTCCAAAAGTGTTGGACATGACACGGAAGATTGCATCAACCTTAAGCACAAAATCCAACACCTGATCGATCAGGAGGTAGTTTCCCTTCAACCGGCAGCGCCAAACGTCAACACGAATCCATTGCCAAATTATGGGGGTGGAAACACCAACATGATAGAAACTGACAAAGATGGGCGTGAAGCCAAGAGAATTACTCCTGTTGTTCAGGAAGACTTGGAAAGTGCTGTCGCTTCTTTAAGCGTCAAGGAAAGGAGGGAGTTTGTTATTCTGACACCTGCAAAGGCTGTTGCCTTGGTGCCCTCAAAGACTCTCCCCAAACCCAAATTTGTGATAGAAACTGCTGTAGCTCAAGGCATGACTAGATCGGGCAGATGCTACACTCCTGATGAGCTTGCTCTCGGAGGACAGAAGAAGGACCATGCTAAGAGGCCGATAAGCGAGGGGGAAGCAGAAGATTTCTGGAGAAGGATGCAACCGAAGGACTATTCCATCATCAAACATTTAGAGAAGACTCCGGCTCAGATATCTGTGTGGGCCCTGCTGATGAGCTCTCAGTCCCACAGGCAGGCCTTAATGATAGCTCTTGATGATACATACGTGCCCTCAGGCACAAGCAGCGACAATGTAGCTGCTATGATTCACCGAGTCATTCAGGGACACCGCATCAACTTCTGCGATGATGAGTTGTCGTCCGAAGGGAGAGCCCACAACAAAGCTCTACACATCACCGTAGTATGCCGCGGAAATATCATCAACCGTGTTTTAGTAGACGACGGATCTGGCATAAATATATGCCCCTTGTCCACGCTGAAGCAGCTGAGGTTTGACCTCGGAAAGTTGGAGAAAAACCAGGTCAATGTGAGAGCATTTGATGGTGTGCAGAGAGAGACATTAGGAGCGGTGAACTTGATCATCCAAATGGGCCCTATGGAGTACGAGGCAAAATTCCAGGTGTTGGATATCGACACCAGCTATAACCTCCTTTTGGGAAGGCCATTCATTCATATGGCTGGAGCCATCCCCTCCACTCTTCACCAAGTGATGAAACTAGTATGGAGAAATGAAAACTAGTTATTCACGCGGAAAGGAACCATTCAGGTAAGCAGGTGCCGATCTTGGACGAGATGCCGCAAACTTCGGATTTCTACACGGTGGAGTTGGTAAATGCCACCGATGAGGGATTGGCACCACAGAATCCCATGCCGGCCGTGTACAAAATGATTGCCACGGTAATGCTGCAGAGCGGATTCGAACCAGGTTCCGGACTAGGAAGGAATGCCCAAGGGATCATCAAGCCAGTTCCCGTCCTTGCTCATGGATCAAAGTATGGTTTGGGGTACATCCGCACAGATGATGATATGAAGATGAAGAGGAGAAGGGATCAAGAGTTGATTAAGCCGATCCCACATCTCTATCACTCCTTTCCAGTCCGGGAGCATGCCGAGCCTGAAGACGAGGGGGAAGGAATCTGTGACCTGTTAAACGAGATCAATGCCGTCATCGAGGAGGAGGCTGAGCCAGCAGGCATTCGTGATGTTGAACCAGGGGAGATGCTGCAAAATTGGACGTCCACGCCGATCCTGATGCCCCGAACTCTGTGGTAGAATGGAGTTATTTTGTGCATGCCAAAATCAGTGGTCGTTGGGAAGAGGCCCGAGACCCACCATTTCTGAATTTTCTTGATTTTGAATTTTGTTATGATTGTTTAAAGAGCAACACGACCTTGTGCCATGACCCAAATTTGCATTTTTGATTCAATTTAAATGAAAGCCTCCTTATTTTGACTTTGTTTATTCGATTGCTTGTTATATTTTACTTTTCTAATTTTGTCTGTTTATGATTTCAGTAACGTAAGTTACAAACCTGCTAATGTCATGTCATGTCATGAGCTAAACGAGCAAAATGAGGCAAATGACGATGAGGCTGACGACTACGATGAAGAAAGTGGGGAACAAGACTATGTGGTAGAAGAGTTTCGACAGTTCGAGAATCAACATAAACCGAATCTGGAGGAAACAGATACGGTAAATTTGGGAGATTCAGAATGTGTCAAAGAGGTTAAGATCAGCACTCACCTGAATGAAACTGAGAAGGAGAGCCTGTTTCATTTGCTTGCCGAATACAGCGATGTGTTTGTTTGGGAGGTCAGTGACATGCAGGGGCTGAGTACTGATGTCGTATCTCATAAGCTGCCTATCAACCCAGGGTTCGAGCCGGTGAAGCAAAAGACTCGGAAATTCAAGCCTGAATTGAGCTTGAATATTAAGGAGGAAATCACCAAGCAGATAGAGTCGCGGTTGGTAGAAGTAATGCAATATCACACCTTGTTGGCGAATGTCGTTCCGGTCACCAAGAAAGATGGAAAAATCAGGATTTGTGTTGATTACAGAGATCTCAACAAGTCTAGTCCGAAGATAATTTTCCGTTGCCAAATATCCATATTTTGATTGACAACTGTGCCAAACATGAGATGCAGTCATTTGTGGATTGTTACGCGGGTTATCACCAAATCTTGATGGATGAAGAAGACGCAGAAAAAACGGCATTCATCACACCTTGGGGTATGTATCACTACAGGGTAATGCCGTTCGGCCTCAAGAACGCCGGTGCTACTTACATGAGAGACATGACAACCATCTTTAATGACATGATTCACAAGGAAATTGAAGTGTACGTGGACGATGTCATAATCAAATCCCGCGAGAGTTCGGATCATTTGACACACCTGAAGAATTCTTTGAACGTTTGCGTCGGTACAACTTGAAGCTAAATCCCGCCAAATCTGCTTTTGGAGTCCCAACTGGGAAGTTGTTGGGGTTTATAGTCAGCAGAAGAGGTATTGAGCTCGATCCTTCCAAGATTAAAGCAATTCAGGAGTTACCTCTGCTGAAGACGAGAAAAGAGGTTATGAGTTTCTTGGGGAGGTTAAAATATCAGTCGGTTTATAGCACAATCAACAGTGGTATGTGAGCCTATCTTCAAGTTGCTGAAGAAAGATGCCCCAACTAAGTGGACTGAGGAGTGCCAGACCGCTTTCAACGCTATCAAGAGCTACTTGTCTAACCCACCAGTATTGGTTCCTCCGCGAGAAGGGAGTCCTTTGTTGCTGTATTTGTCTGTCTCAGATAACGCCTTTGGGTGCGTACTTGGTCAACACGATGAGACAGGGAAGAAGGAAAAGGCTATCTACTACATCAGCAAGAAATTTACTCCGTACGAGTCTCGCTACACTTTGCTGGAAAGAACATGCTGTGCTCTGACGTGGCTTGCCCAGAAGCTGAGGCACTATTTGTCATCATATACTACATATCTTATCTTCAGAATGGATGATTGAAGTATATTTTCCAGAAAGCGATGCCGACCGGGAAGTTAGCTAAATGGCAAATGCTGTTGAGTGAGTTTGACATCGTGTACGTGACTCAGAAGGCAAAAAAGGCACAAGCCTTGGCTGATCATCTTGCGGAAAATCCCGTTGATGAAGAGTATGAACCTCTCGAGACATATTTTCACGATGAAGAAGTGTCCTTTGTGGGTGAAGATATCTCTGAAGCTTATCCAGCTTCGAGATTATTCTTTGATGGAGCGGTGAATCACCAGGGTAAAGGTGTTTGAGCACTCCTGGTATCAGAATCTGGTCAGCACTATCCTATGGCGGCTAAGCTACGATTCAAGTGCACAAACAACATGGCTGAGTATGAAGCTTGCATTCTCGGTTTGAAGATGGCCGTTGACATGAATGTTTACGAGTTACTGGTTATTAGGGATTCAGACCTCTTGATTCACCATGTTCAAGGAGAATGGGTTGTGAAGAACCCGAAGATTGTACCTTATGTACAATATGTGCAAAACCTTTGTAAAAGGTTTCGCAAGATCGAGTTCAGACATACTCCCCGAGTACAGAAGGAATTAGCTGATGCTCTTGCCACCATCGCTTCAATGATCAAACATTCGGACGCTGATTATATTGACCCTCTGGATATAGATTTGAAGGAGCATCCCGTCCATTGATCACACGTGGAATCAGAACCAGATGGTTTGCCTTGGTATTTTGACCTAAAGAGATACTTAGAGTCTGGGACATATCCAGAAGATGCTACATCTAATCAAAAGAAATCGATACGTCGTATGGCTCTAAATTTCTTTTTCAATGGAGAAGTCCTGTATAGGAGGACTCCAGATCTGGGTCTTTTAAGATGTGTAGATGCTGCTGAAGCTATGAGGCTTATTGAACAGATACATGCTGGAGTTTTTGGTACACACATGAACGGGCTTACTTTAGCAAGAAAGATTCTTCGAGCCGGCTATTTCTTGATGACTATGGAGAACGACTGTTTACATCCCTACTCTTTCGAAATAGGGCGAAACGTCGCGGCAACTCGAAAATAAATTAAGTGTTTTAATTTTAATAAAGTTGTAAAAATAAACGAGTTTTAAAAAGAGTCGCCACCTAATTTTAGGGAAACTAGGAAACCAATTATTAATCTACGAAACCAATTTGATTCTAGGTAAGGGGTTCAAGTTATTCCGAAGGGAAGGGGTTAGGCACCCTTCGGAAT